AAAAATTTAAAAAAAAATGCAAAAAAATAAAAAATAAAACTGCATGGAAAACCAGTAGTTATTATGACTAACCTAAGCTTAAAATAGGAATTACAGAATTACTTTTTAATGCAATTGCCCTAAAATTAAGTTCCATATTATTATGATTTTATTGTGTTATGCTACTCTGTAACCAAAGATTATTGATTTCTTAAATAAGATCTTTTACCTTGTTTGAAGTTATGTCTGGTGTTCTGAGTAATTCATTGAACTTTATGGTTATGCCAGAAAATTTGGTAATGCTTGAAGTCTACACTACGAAAATGTAATTGAGTTTCCAAATTTCATTTTTATCTTTAGGGGAAAATTGTTAATCTGTGAGTGATTGGTTTATGGGCAGGAAGCAATATTTCATAATATCTCTTTAAATCAGTCTATAGCATGACGATGCTATGTGTTCATCTAACCATTTCATTTTCCTCATTGATATTGAAGGAGAATGCATGCTCTACCTTTCTGGGTAGGGTGGTCTAACTAGCTTATATCAAAGGAGTGTAGCAGTCCTCCCCACTCTCCATTTTTCAAGGTAACCTTGGATGCCACAGATTGAGGTAATAGAAACTCAAGATGAGAGGAACCGCACAGGAGAACCCATCTACTAGATCAGGAAAAAAAAATACTTTTGGACTTTACGTGAGTGACAAATTCTTTTATTATTATAGGTGGTTGTTACAGCAGCTGGCAATATATACCCTGAATAAAACATTCTCTAACTCTGCTTACTGAGAATAGAAAGTTTCTAATCTAAGGAATGTTTGCTCTCTTCCCCCGCTCCACCCTCAGAATGAGGGGACTGTTTCAATGAAGCGATATAGATCACCAATCAATATACAATTCTCTAAGGACTCTGGCCTTAGTAAATCATGTCCTGGGTGTTACAGATTAGACTCTATACACACACACACACACACACACACACACACACACAAAGGGGGGAGAGAGAGAGAGAGAGAGAGAGATTAAGATTTGTGGGTACAAAGGGTGACAGAGAGATTAAGATTTGTGGGTATAAAGGGTGACAAAACTCTGCTCTGGCTGGGTGCAGTGGCTCATGCCTGTAATCCCAGCACTTTGGGAGGCCAAGGTGGGTGGATCACTTAAGGTCAGGAGTTTGAGACCAGCCTGACCAACATGGTGAAAACCCATCTCTACTAAAAATATACAAAATTAGCTGAGCGTGGTGGCACACACCTGTAATCCCAGCTACTTGGGAGGCTGAAACAGGAGAATTGCTTGATCCCGGGAGGCGGAGATTGCAGTAAGCCAAGATTGCACCATTGCACTCCAGCCTGGGCAACAAGAGTGAAACTCCATCTCAAAACAAAACAAAACCCTCCTCCAACCAGGTTACCCAGAAAACAAAACCAAAGAAGCAATGGAATAGGAATTAGGATGAATAAGACAATTATGGACCAGAAACAGGGAACAGTTGTTCCGAAAATCCTGACAACTTTTCCAGAGAGTTCTAATAGCTAATATAATCTAAGAATGAGGTCAAATTGGAAACTAAGGTAGGTGTTTTGCTTAGGAATCTGCATCAAAGAATAACTCAAGTCACTGGGCAGATTTTGCCCTGGGGATGTTTGACAGGTGCTTCTCACCTCTGCAAGTGTCACCCATGCTGAGCTGACAATTCACTTGGGTGAAGAAGGAAGCTAAAGCTTATTGAATGCCTCCTCTGTGCCAGGCACAATATGTACCCCGTTACCTTTAAACCTCATGGGGTAAGTATTGCTGGCCCCATTTACATAAGGAAATTAAGACTCAGAGGGATAATTTGCCCAGGAGTTATCTGCTAATAACTGGCAAATCACTTTGAGTCCAGACTTTTATTTTGCTTGAAACTTACTCTTTTTCTGTGAGCTCTCACAAGTTCAGTCTCAGTTCTAAGAATTAGTATACCTTTTGAATTTCAATAAAAATCTAACTCTGCCAGGTATGGTGGCTCACACCTATAATCCCAGCACTTTAAGGAGGCCAAGGCAGGTGGATCACAATATCAGGAGTTCAAGATCAGCCTGGCCAATACGGTGAAACCCCATCTCTACTAAAAATAAAAAAATTAAAAAAAAAAAAATCAGCCAGGCGTGGTGGTGGGCACCTGTAGTCCCAGCTACTTGGGAGGCTGAGGCAGAAGAATTGCTTGAACCCAGAAGGCAGAGGTTGCAATGAGCCGAGATTGTGCCACTGCACTTCAGCCTTGGCAACAGAGCAAGACTGTGTCTTAAAAACAAAAACAAAAAAGGCCAGGCATGGTGGCTCACGCCTATAACTAAGTACTTTGGAGGCCAAGATGGGTGGATCACCTGAGGTCGGGAGTTCAAGACCAGCCTGACCAATATGGTGAAACCCCGTATTTTAAAAAAAAAAAAAAAAGTGGAAAATAAAATAAAATAAAACAAACAAAAAAACCTATATCCTTTTCCAGAGCTTTTTTTTTTTTTTTTTTTTGGTTTTTACAGTCCACTTCTCATAAAGAACTCTTGAAATAAACTATCATTTGTCTAGCAATGACGAGTTTTTCCAGTTTACCCACCTTTTTCCTCTCTCCTGTAAGAGACAAGAGTGAGTCCGGTAATGTTTTTATCTGATTTCTCTTGTTAATTTGTGAAAATCTAACCATAGTACTATTCTAATATTAACAAATTTTACCTCTCCTGTTTGTAAATTGCTAATCTCACACATGTATTTTTCTCATTGATTGACATGACAGTATACATTTGGAAAATCCAAATGGTAAATAATCTAAAGTTTGTCAAATTATAAAGTAAAGCAATTCAAATTTTAGTGTTTGACACTGGATATTCACCTAAATATAGTTACTGAGTATGTTGTTTTAGATAAATCATGGTAAAGCCATGGCCAAATCTTGATTTTACATGTCAGCTCTCTAAGTTATGAATAATTACTTCAAATTATTCTTCTTAATTTTAATTTTCTTCATAGGAATCATGTAAAACATCTTTCATGGTTTGCTTTAACTGGTTTGGACTGGCTCACAAGGACAATTGTTAAATTATTTGAATTTTGCTAAGTGATTTTTAATAACAGCCACTATTAAAAAATAAAGTACATAAACTTACAATTAAATAGATGATATAAATAGGGCACATGTCATCAGGACCTCCTGAGGCTGTGTCACAAAAAATATAAAGAAATAAATAAAATAAATAGGGGATATATAAAATGAAGTTTGTGAATATCAAAAACCTTTTGTTGTTATTTTATCTTTTTTACTATTATATGTTTTTGCAGTTATGAATGTCTTGTATGGTGAAAACACTATAGAGTGGGGTACTGGTGTACCTCTCTGTGTTCAGTGATGTCCTGTCGGTAGCTTTAAAACCAGCTATAGTGGGAGAATTTACGCAATGGAAATTGCTAAATGACAAATTAAGGCTTGAATTATTGCTTTGTTGATTTTGTAGAGTTAAGAAAGTGACCAAGAGAAAATGTTAATAATGAATAGTAGGCCAGATGTGATGGCTCACACCTGTAATCCCAGCATTTTGGAAGGCCTAGGCAGGATGATTGCTCAAGGCCTGGAGTTTCAGACCAGCCTGGGTAACATAGTGAGATCCCATTTCTACAAAATAAAATAATAGCCAGGCATGGTGGCACATGCCTGTAATCCCTGCTACTTGGAAGGCTGGGGCAGGAAGATTACCTGAGTTCAGGAGTCCAAGGTTGCAGTGAGCCGTGATCATGCCACTGCACTTCAGCCTGGGTGACGAAGTGAAACCTTGTCTCAAAAAAAGAAAACACACAAATAAAGGTGTCATGACTAGCTGTTACATGGTGTATAGCACAAACATATTGAGGAACTATCCTTCAAGTATAGGCATAGCCTTTTTTTATTGTAGTTTGTTTTGTTGCACTTTGCAGATACAGTGTTTCTCACAAATTGAAAGTTTGTGACAACCCTGTATCAAGCAAGTCTGTTAGTCTATTTTTCCAATGACATGTGCTCACTTCATGTCTCATTTTCACATTTTGGTAATTCTCACATTATTTCTTTTCTTTTTCTTTTTTTTTTGAGACAGAGTTTTGCTCTTGTTACCCAGGCTGGAGTGCAATGGCGCGATCTCGGCTCACCGCAACCTCCGCCTCCTGGGTTCAGGCAATTCTCCTGCCTCAGCCTCCTGAGTAGCTGGGATTACAGGCATGTACCACCATGCCCAGCTAATTTTTTGTATTTTTAGTAGAGACAGGGTTTCACCATGTTGACCAGGATGGTCTGTATCTGTTGACCTTGTGATCCATCTGCCTCAGCCTCCCAAATTCTCAAAATATATCTAACTTTTTCATTGTTATTGTATCTGTTATAATGGTCTGTAATCAGTGATTTTTGATGTCATGTTGTAATTTTGGAGGGCCAATATGTACCACATTCATATAAGACTGCAAATTTAATCAGTAATATTGTATTCTGACTGCTTCACTGACTGGTCTTTCTCAGTCTCTCTTCCTCTCCTCAGACGCAAGAATATTGAAATTAGGCCAATTAATAACACCATAATGGGCTCTAAATGTTCAAGTGAAAGGAAGAGTCATACATCTCTCACTTGCAATCAAAAGCTAGAAATGATTAAGCTTAGTGAGGGATACATGTCAAAAGCTGAGACAGGCTGAAAGCTAGGCCTCTTGCACCAACAGTTATCCCAGTTGTGGATACAAATAAAAGGTCTTAAAGGAAATTAAAAATGCTACTGCAGTGAAAACATAAAAGGTATGAAAGTGAAACTGCCATACCACTAATACGGAGAAAGTTTGAGTGGTCTGGTTGGTCTGGATAGGTCAACCCAGCCATAACATTCTCTTAAGCCAAAGCCTAATGCATAGTAAGGCCCTAATTCTCTTACTCTGTCAAGGCGGAGAGAAGTAAAGAAACTGTAGAAGAAAGATTTGAAGCTAGCAGAGGCTGGTTCAGGAGGTTGAAAGAAAGAAGCTATCTCTATAACATGAAAGTACAAGGTGAAGCAACGGGCAATATAGAAGCTGCAGAGAGTTATCCAGAGGATCTAGCCAAGATCATTGATAGAGGTGGCTATATTAAACAATATATTTTCAATGTAGGTGAAACAGCTTTCTGTTGGAAGATGTCATCCAGGATATTCACAGCTAGAAAAGAGAAGACAATGCCTGGCTTCAAGGCTTCAAAGGACAGGTTGACTCTCTTGTCAGAGGTAAATGCAACTGGTGACTCTAAGTTGAAGCCAGTGCTCTTTTATCATTCCATAAATCCCAGGGCCCTTAACAATTATGCTCAATCTACTCTGCCTGTGCTCTAGAAATGGAACAACAAATCCTGGGTTACAGCACATCTGTTTACAACACAGTTTACTGAATCTTTTAGGTACACAGTGGAGACTTAGTGTTCAGAAACAGGGATTTCTTTCAAAATATTATGCTTATGGACAATGGACCTGATTAACCAAGAGCTCTCATAGAGATGTACCGGAGAATAATATTGTTTTCATGCCTGGTAACCCAACATCTGTTCTGTAGCCCATGAATCAAGGAGTCATTTCAAGTCTTAGTATTTAAGAAGTGCATTTCATAAGGCTGTAGTTGCCATACATTAGTCATTTCTCTGATGGATCTGGGCAAAATAAATTGAAAACTTTTTGGAAAGGTTTCACCCTGCTAGCTGTCTTTAAGAATATTTGTGATTCATGGGAGAAGGTCAAAATATCAATATTTATATAGGAGTTTGGAAGAACTTGATTCCAACCCTCATAATGACACAGAGGTTCAAGACTCCAGCGGAGGAAGTTATTTCAAATGTGGTGGACATAGCAAGAGAACTAGAATTAGAAATAGAGTCTGCAGATGTGACAGAATTGCTGCAATCTCATGATCAAACTTGAGTAGTCAAGGAATGGTTTCTTAGGGATGAGCAAAGAAGTGGTTTCTTGAGAGGGAATGTACTCCTAGTGAAGATGCTGCAAACACTGTTGAAATCACAACAAAGGATTTAAAATATTATATATCATCATTAATATAATATAATACTAATAATATATTATTAGTTGGTAAAGCAGCAGCTGGATTGGGTAGAATTCCAGTTTTGAAAGACGTTCTACTGTGGGCCAAATAGTATCAAACAACATTGCATGCTGCACAGAAATCTTTTATGAAAAGAAGAGTCAATCAGTGCAGCAAACTTTATTATCTTATTTTCAGAAATTGCCACAGCCACCCCAACCTTCAGCAACTGCTAGCCTGATCAGTCAGCAGCCATCAACTTTGAGGTAAGAACCTCCACCAGCAAAAAGATTACCACTGGCTGAAGGGCTCAGATGATTGTTAGCAATCTTTAGCAACAAAATACTTTTAAATTAAATTATGTATTTTTTTATATACAATGTTATTGCACACTTAATATAGTTTCATATACACATAACTTCTATATGCACTAGGAAGCCAAAAATTTGTGTGACTTGCTTTATTGAGAAATTTGCTTTGTTGCTGTGGTCTGGAACTGAACCCACAGTATCTCTTGTATTCAAAAACTTAATTATTCAATTTAGCACATAATTTGCTCACATAAAGTTGTTCATGGACAAATGGGTGAAGTTCTGACATTTCACTTATTAATGAAAAAGAAAATATCAACCAACACTCATGTTATGGAACACTTTTTATTAATTGCAACCATAATTTAGGGAGGATAGAGGAATTCAACAAAAGCATTAGAAGATATTTAATTGGCCATATGAAGATTTAAACATAATGAATATTAAATCATTTTTAATAACTGTGTCATTTATTCTTTATACTGAAGTATATTTCAAAAATATATACATAGGTGTGTTTTCTTTCCTAGAGAACAAATTTGTCAGCATAGCACTGACACTCTTATACTTTACACTGCCTGAGGTTTATCCATTAGTTGCCAGCTCATTTTCTTCTTTGATATTCTTACATTTGTTTGGCTAAAATTTGAAATAGTTCTCAGATAAAAGTTGAAAAAGGTAATTCCTTGTCATTATCCCTATTGTCTTAGGTTCTTGATACAGGAAGCTGTGGATATTGGTTATAGTGTTTAAGGAATTCCATTTTCTTTCTTCTAGTTACAAACTTTGCCTCTCCTGCCTTCCTGTCACAGAGGAGGCTATGGAACTCAGACTCGATTAATTTGCTCAACAGTGATTACTGGATTATCAAGCGTCCAAATCAGAGAGAATTTGTCGCTAGGTTTGACACATAGATGCTCAGGGGAACTTCTTCCTAGGGTGGCTAAGCTGGCAGGTAAGTTCTCCACCATGTGAAGAAGGTATCTCTATAGCAGGAGAAAATGAGATTACTATGTCAAGAGAGGTAATTCCCATAGTAATGAACAGCAGTTAGAGCATATCCTGGTAATGCTGACTCTCCAAATCCAGTTCTTGTAGGCATTAATTCATACAGCCATTGAGTTATTCTAATATTTTTCCAGCTATATGGGCAATATATTGATCTTTGCCTCAAGATAATATGAGTTGGCTTTTTCTTATTTACAACATTAGGGTCCTGACTCATAAAAATCCCTGTGTATTTAGTGGGATTGGCTTCATTGAATCTGCAAACATCCTGAAATTCTATGCAAGATTTGTGTGTTTCTGTTTAGGTGCATTTTTACCCCCTGGGTATAGGATTCATGGCTTTCCTCAGATTTGAAAAAAGAAAATAAGCCTCTAAAAGCTGACTAAAGTTAATGTGAATCAAAATAAGCTAAATGCATAGCTTTCTATGTCAGAATTTGTTTAGCATGTACCATACAAATCAAGTGGTTACATTCACCTGAGCATGAATTTGAGCCTTTCTTTGATGTTTTTGGCCTAGATTTCAAAGTTTCCTATGAGTTTTAAGTCCCAAAGGCACTTAATTTTCATTTGATTTCTTCCTTGTTACTTTCTTCACATAGTAACCTATTTGTATATGTGTGATATTGTTAGCATATTTCTCAGCAGAGACTAAAATGGGAGGCACTTGTTATTCACTTAATTTATTAAAATTTCAAGGAGAATGAACAGTGAATAAGAAGTCAGTGTCTATATTTTATCAAAACTTTTGAAAAAGGACTTTTATCTATCTTTAGAAATAACTTTCAAGGAAATGGCACCAGGCATTAAACTCAAATTTGATAAGTATGTCTCAGATGCTTTAAGATTACTTGTACCAAGACTTCTGGCTTAAGAGAACAATGAAATTAAGTTATAGAGTGGGAAGAACTTTTACTGGGGCAAATTAAAACTAGACAATGTGAATGAGAAGACAGTAACACATAAGAAACCTATCTTTTTCTCTTGTAATGTTAGCTATCAAGTGGAAAATAATTGCATTTAGTAAAAAGCAAAATAAAGTGTTCCCAATACTATGCATTCAATACCTTTACTTCAGAAAAAGCTAAAGCAATTTTAGAGGATGATTTTCGTCTAAGAAAGTAATTTATTGCTTCGATAAGCATGACACAGAAGGCTGTGCAGGTCCTGCTCGCCTAACTGAAGAAGTATTTTGTCAGCCTCTGTAAGAGTTTTGATTGATTGTATCTATGGTACTAAAAAGAAATTATTTAAGTCTTCCTAAAAATATAATGCATGCAATAAAGTAATATAGTGACTTCTTTGAAAATAAAGCCTAATTGAAAATGAAAATGCAGTATATTTAAGTTTCTGAAAAATAAAACACTTTCTTACCAAAGCCAATAGACAACATTATAAATATCCTATCAAGGTTGAAGTAAATACACAATGTTTAAGACCTATAGAAGAATACAAATAGGCTAAAATATCAGATTAATGGATAAGTCTAGTAATGAGAGTTTAAGAGCAAAATGTATGAAATTAACTGGACCCTTTAAGAAAAATTCACTACATTTAAACTTGTGCACTTAGTTGAAATTTAGTTTTGCTTCTCTAAATCATACAAACCATTAAGTTACTAGTTGAGAATGATTAATTGGTACACAGAAAGAAATTCTATCCTTAGTTCTAACGCTGCAGTCGTTTATATCTATTTAATGGGTAGTTAGGCTAGTCTTACCTTTAAGGCTAGCTCATATTCTTGGAATCTATATTTTCACAAATACTTCTTATGCTATTTGCAATAATATTAATTCAAACTTATGCATAGATAGGTTAATACATAAGCATGACACAGAAAGCTATTAAGCCCTTGTTCACTGAGCCAAAACAATATTTTGCCATCCTTTACATGACTGTGTGTATATGTGTGTGTACGTGTGTGGGTGTGTCTAAAACAAAGATTTGGGTACAAAATTAATAAATTGGCCCTTGAATGTTCCTGATGACAGAACTCAGATTTTCACAAAAATTCAGTACAACAGAATTGCAAATTAACATGGCTTTAGGTGTTGCGTTGAGCTCCAAGATGAAAAAGTTAGATGAAAAGAAATCTGGTTTAAGACAAGAAATATGTGACATATTAGTCTTTATTATCTACTTATTGAAATTTTTTAATTACTTCTGTAAGATGCCTTACCTTGATGTTGAAAGTAGCAACTGATCCCAAAATAAAGTATGCTGTAAAACAGTTTGGCACCTGTTTAAGTTGTTGTTCTATGTGACATACAGATGGAGTTTTAAAACACAAAATAAATAACCAACAGATCCACATGGGAACTCTTCACACCAAAGACTTTATAGATACTAAGGAGTACATAAAACACTGCACTGTCACCCAAGGATAATACTAATATAGGGTTAGAAAGTTTTCACCCTTATGCTGCCAGAAAGGAAATTGCAAGCAGATGATATACACAGTACATTGGTATGCTTAATACACTTACTCCATGAAGTGTAGAAAAGCTGTCAAAAAGAAATTACAAACAGCATTCCAAATGCTTAGGAAGTTAATATTATATTTTAGAAAAGTAATGACAGAAAACCATTTTCTCCTTCATACATGCTACTTAGATATCTGCACAAGCTTTCCCCTCACATATAAAAAGCTGAAAATAAATGGAAAATGCCAATAAAGTTGGCCATTAATATTGCCATTTCCAGAAGAAGGACAATAATGTGACATCTTTCATAGCTGACAGGATTTCTGCCAGAGGGTTGGTAGATTGTCCTCTACTGGGTTATTTCTTGTACCTATTTCTCAATTACAAGCTTGTGTTCCTGCAAAATACTTGTCAATAAATAGCCTTTGTTTCTGAAAACAGCATCTGCCCTGGGTCCCTTCTATTCTATTTTAATAAATAAGGGTCAGCATATGATTTTTTAAAAATCTGAAATCTTCTTTACTAGTCTCTCCAGAAATACAGCAACTAAAATTAGTCCTAAGCATCCACTTTTGTGCTTTCTCCCCACCCCCAGACCTGATAATGATCATGCTACCTTTTCTGATTCATAGGTAACTCCTAAACTAGAGGTACATCAGACCCAACAGGCAGAAAAACAGCCTGCAAGGCAAGAATGTGAGACCCAAATGTTGCCACCAGTTCAAGCTGAAGTACAAAGGAAGCCAAAAATTTACCCTACTATGTCTGATTTTTAAAATTCTATAGCCCATTTTAAGTTAAAAATTCTATCTCCTCTTTTTTCAAAGTGTGAAATGAAATGAATGATCCCCCATCCCAGACATGAGGATCATTTTTTCTACCCTCTTCCAAATGTGAAAACTGCTGAGAGATTAAAAAGAACAGAAGTCAATAGGCACTGAGGAAAAACATAGGTCTTGGAGTTGGTTTGTTGTAGGTACAAAACATTTGAAGTATTAGTGTAAACATTTTAACAAAAGTAGGAGAATTCTTTTACTTTCAGAATTTTTATGTGCATAACTTTGCTTAATAGACACTGACTGAACTTTGATCATAAAATAATTATGAAAACCCCAAAATGAATTTGACTGCTTGCCATAATTGATGCAGCTACACTTTGAAAATAACACATGAGGCAAGGAAGGAACACAGCAGAAAATTTAGAATCATAATATTTTAGGCAATAACTATTGATTATTTTAAAAGCCAGAGACTAATAAATAGTTTTATAGGATGCAGTTTTATAAAACTTAAAAGTAAGTTTTTTGTGTGTGAACTCTCTAGAGAATAGAGAGTTGGCAAATATACTATACTTTTGGCAAATATACTAGTGATGGAACACTTTCTATTCTGTAATAATTATATTGTATGCAATCATTACTTTGTAGGTCTTTCCTCCACTACATTGAGCTTCTTAAAGTAAAGAGCCTATCTTTGTATCTGCAGGTCCTACACAAAGTACAACTCAATAAATGTTTGCACACTTTATTAATTTACTTATTTATACCTTATATTGTTATGGAATACATTCTTGAGAGTTACATTAGAATCAGTTCTGAAGCTTTTCATAAAACAAATGCTCAGGCCCTACTCTGCACATAGGACTAGATATGTTTAAAAGGCTGTAGAAGTTGATATACATGCTATGACTTGATGGATATATAGAGATATGATGGACGCATTCCTGCCAAAGTCAGAAACAAGGTAAGGAAACCTATCAGCTCCACTACTACTAAGCTTGGACCAAAGCTAATAGCTCATGAATCATAATAAGCAGCATTGTAAGAATTTGAAAAGAAAGAACCCAGTGCAGTAGTGTGTACCTGGCACCCAAAGTAGTCCTAGCTACTTGGGAGGCTGAGATGGGAGGAGGGCTTGAGCCCGGGAGTTCAAGGCCAGCCTGGGCAACACAGGGAAATCCCATTTCCAAATAAATAAATAAGTTAGAAAAGAAAGAGTAAAACTGTATGTAATGACATATTATTAGTTTGTGTACCGAGAACACAGAAGATAATACGAAGACTAACACAAGAAAAAAGATTTAATAAGGTAGCAGATATTAAATTAACATAAAAATCAATAGCTTTCAAAAATAGAAACAATAACCAATTAAAATATATAATTAAACAAATCTTTAAGGACAGAAAGAAAATGCTTGGAAATAAATCAACAGAAAATGCACAAAACCTATGTAAGAAAAACTTTAAAATATTCAAATTTAGAAAGTTAGCCTAAAGTAATGGAAAGACATCCCTTCTCTTTGGGAAAGAAAACTCAATACTATAAAAATGTAAATACCCTTCAAGTTAATATACAAATTAAATGTGATCCCAGTAAAGATATTCTGAAGTTGTTATTGTTATTTGATGAAGATAGATTAATGCTAAGATTCATATGGGAAAATAAACACACAAGAATACATTGGGAAACTCCAAATAAAGAAAAGCTAGGCCTGGTGCAATGGCTCATGCTTGTGATCCTAGCACTTTGGGAGGCCACAGCAGGCTGATTGCCTGAGCTCAGGAGTTCAAGACCAGCCTGGGCAACACAGTAAAACCCTATCTCTACTAAAATACAAAAACTTAGCTGGCAGTGTGCTCCTTGTAGTAGCAGCTGCCCAGCAGGCTGAGGCAAGAGGTTTTCTTGAACCCAGGAGGTGGAGGTTGCAGTGAGCCAACAACATGCCACTGTACTCCAGCCTGAGTGATAGGGCAAGACTCCATCTCCAAAAAAAAAAAAGCTAATGAGTGGGAACTAGACTTACATGACATAAAACATACTTTAAAGCCTCTATAATTAAAAAAAAAGTAAAGTGCGGATGCAGGAATAGACAGACCAATAGAACAGAATATCAAGTTTAGAAATAGATCCAAGTACATAAGGAATTTAGTAAATGATAAATGTGGAAGTTTGCATCACTGAGGGGAAATGATGGACTTTAACAAAAATTATATTCAAATATTAGAATTTTGGAGCCAGGCGCAATGGCCCATGCCCCAGCACTTTGGGAGGCTGAGACAAGAGGATCACTTGAGGCCATGTGTTCAAGACCAGCCTGGGCAAAATAGTGAGAACTCATCTATACAAAACATTAAAAAAATCAGCCAGACCTGGTAGAATGTGCCTGTGTTCCCAGCTACTTGTGAAGCAGAGGTGGGAGGATCACTTGGGTCTTGGAAATTGAGGCTACAGTAAATGGTGATCACGCTACTGTACTCCAGCCAACCTGGGTATCAGAGCAGCACTCTGTCTCAGAAAACAAAACAAAACAAGAATTTTGGAAAAAGACAAAATTAGATCCATCCTTCATCTATTCAAAAGAGAATTCTCAAAACACATCAGGTATCCAAATATAAAATAATAAATTATATAATTACTAGAAGACAACATGAGTGAGTTCATTTAAAACATGCCAGGGTCGCTATGCACATGACCCTGTATCAGACACTGTATTTAGGTGATCTCAATGAAAAGTTGCTCAAAACTCAGTGAAGAAGATACATTGTCATCATACCACTCTATTGATGGAGAAACCTGATGCGGATAAGCTACAAGATAGAAGGCCACATAATTCCCCAGGTGGTCTCTCTCACCCTGATTATGGAAATTAACAGCTTATATTCATAGGTGCATTCACAGCCTAAAGGGGATTTTAAGAAACAAGTTATCATATGCATTACAGGCCTTTGCAGCCTTCTTCAAATTTGTCATGCTGAATAGTTGAATCCAGGCTATTTTGGGAAAAACAAGGGAAGATCCTGCTGGAAGGTTGCAGGCTCAAGGCTGAAGTTGTGCCAAAAGTTTTCTTCTCTAGCTATCTATAATACATAAAGAAGCAAAGAAGTTGCTAGTCGATGAGCTCACAGGTGTCAGCTTCCTTAAAGTGAAATTCAAGGACATCAAGGATTGGTCCAACCTAGTAATGCCGTGAGAATAATGGGGATTTTTGCCAAACCTGACCATATTAACATGACATATTCAAAGACTCAGCTTTAGCATTCACTGACTCTATTATTGATTTGTGACAATCTTTGTGACCCTGGGAGCCTGGCGACAATTCTGAAATCTCCCACTTGGACAGGCTACAGCAAAGTGTTTCAAACTTTGAAAGGCTGTGTGGATGCCTGGGAGCCCAAAGTGCTACAGGTGGGTATGGGTGCACGTTTTCAGGTACCCAGTATCAATAATCTGAAAGCAGAAATAGTGCCACATTACTTGCCCCCTGACACCCAGGTCTATGTGGCTGACAACTAAAACCTTTATGCTCAGGCTCAGATGTCTAATAAAGCCAGTGACTATGGCTTGGTGTATGATTGGCGACACCTGAAGTTTCACGAGTACGAAGAAAAGTAAGGTCTAGACACTGGAGCCAGTAAAGGTTGGCTGCCTGATACTGAAGTTCAGAGTCATGACTTGGACTGGACAGAGGCACCAGCAGCTGTGGTGGTTGGCAGCGAGACCCACGGCATGAGTCTGGAGTCTCTGTAGTTGGCTGAGAGCACTGGGAGCAAGAGGCTGCTGATCCCTGTTGCCCCTGTTGTGAACGGTCTCAACCCAGCCATGGCTGCACGCAACCTGCTTTTTGAAGGGAAGAGACAATTGTGGGTGAGGGTGGAACATTTAAGCAGGGACAGGAGTTACCACTGAGAGGTACCATGCTCAGGAGCCAAGAGGTAGGCATGATACCATCACATGGTTGCAGGAGAAATAAGAATCTCTATAAATTTCTGCTATTCCTTAGCAATAACAGATCAGAATCATTCCTGAGATCCCCCATCTCCACTGACTTTAAGGTTATATCTTATTTTTTTCTTTGTGACAACACAAATAGGGGATTCATGTGGCTCTATATGTGTGTTTTCAAAAATTGTCCACTGAGAAGTATTTCGTGCCCAGAAAGCTCCTGAAAGCATCGTCTTGGGCAGGGAGGAATTTGCTCCACCAGCTGGTGAGTGTTTTGCAATCATCAAGCACTGGTTATAGGTCATGGCCAAGTCACTCACATCTGATCATTGGTCACTGGTAAATAAAATAAACTATAAAGTGTAGAACCAGCAGATTACATTAAAAAGTTGTATTTGTGTGGTCAAAAAGCTAAATAAAAAAAGATGAATTTAGAGAAATCCTTTCTAACTATGACTCAAAAAGTAGAACCATTAAGAGAAAATATTTTACCTTGCAGCTCTTATTGTCAAAGGGACCTTTATCCAATAGAAGGCAGAGCCTCTACTCACAAGAGCAGGGAAAATCAGTCAGAGGTATCTGGGATGAATCTTGCAGCTACAGGACCAGTACCCAGACATCTGTGAGATTTGGGCAAAACTGCCCGTTAAGTGCAGCCTACCTCTGCCCCTCACAGTGTTCACCCACTTCATTCAACGGGGATTTTGCCTTTTCTTCCCTGTTAGTACTCCACCAAAATTAGAGCCTCTAGTCTCTTTCTCCAATACCCAGAGGCTCTGCATAGGGTTTACTACCATTTTCCCACCAAAGGCCACATTCTATTCCAGAATTCTCCATATTATTAGTCATCAACTGAGGACCTGCTTTGAAATAATAACCCAGAACCAGAATGCCATCAAATTGACTTCTTCAGATACTTGCACTTCCTTGTACATATTTATACCTTGATATGACATGGACCCCTTGCATTACCTGTCGTCTCTAACAATTACTGCACAATTGGTTCTTCTCAAATAATGACTCCTGCTAGGACCAAGACCAGGACTTCTTTCAATTTTGCATTTTGGACTACTGGCTTGGTTTCCTCGGTGTTTTACCTGCAGTTAAGTCACTATTCTCAGTGATGCTTTTCCTACACAATCCTGTCTTTCCTTTCCTATGTCCAGTCCCTATGGGTAGAATTCGCTAGCTTTCTTTAATCACCAAACTGCCTTTCATTATACTGTGGCAGACATTATAGGTCTCACTTGTATCAGTTCTTTCTTTCTGGAAATGTGATGCATTATATTTCTCTATCCACCCTTTAGTTAGGTGACATTGTCTTAGGTCAAGTTTCCCAGATCCAATCTGTAAGACAAGAACGTATATGCAAATGATATATTAAGGAAATATTCTCAAGGAAGACTGTAAGGAAGTGATAGAAGCAAGACAGACAATGAAATAAAGCCAAACAAAGCAAAAGTCCCACACAGGGTAGGTTTTATTAAAATCCCACAGGAGAATTTTGAAGGGCAAGCAATTTCTCAGAGTTGTCCCAACCTGAAGCAAGGACCTGAGGTAATATTCCTGTGCAAGACAATCTCTAATCAACAGCCATGGCCAGGTACAGTGGCTCATGCCTGTACTTTGGGAGGCTGAGGCAGTCATATCGCTTGACCCCAAAAGTTTAAGATCAGCCTGGAAAACATAATGAGAGCATGTTCTCTACAAAAAATTAAAAAAATTAGCCTAGCATAATGGTGCTCACCTGTAGTCCCAGCTACTTGGGAAGCTGAAATGGGAGGATTGCTTGAGCCCAGGAGGTTGAGGTTGCAGTGAGCTGTCAACACACTAGTATACTCAGCCTGGGTGACAGAGTAAGATGTGTCTCCCCCCAAAAAAAAATCAACAGCCACTTGGGTGTATGCACCAGGCATTTCCAGCTCACAGTGCAAAGGGGCTCCAGTAGCCCAAATAGAAGCCATTGAAGAGTCCCAGGTGCTGGCCATTCAACATATGCCAATCAGGGATTTAAGCCAAGGACAGACATTGTTTCAGGTCTCAAGTGAGTGGTTCTCTGGTCAATAACTTTTAGATGGAAATTATTACCACAGTGAATTTCATTTTCAGCATGCACTCCTCCAGCATTTTTTCTCCTTCCTTGTTAATTGAGAAGTCTGTCTGCTTTAGACAATGCAGCACCATAAGGTGGTGGAGTCTAGTCAGATTGCATCTTTGAGTTATGGAGGCAGAGCCTTCTTCTGACGTATATTAGACATGCCTATTAAGTGAGAAATAAACTTAGCCTGTTTGTTATTATAACAAATCCTCTCCTATCCTAACTAATACATATCCCATTTATGTACTTTTCATTCAAAAAGATTTTCTGAAAAAATATCATGTGCTAGATATTATGCTAGAGAATATAAAGATAAAAAAGAAATGTTCCTTTTCCTCAGCAAGCCCCTTATCATAATAGAGTCTAGGTAATGCCATGATGGAGATATGCTGTGGGACCCAGAATGCTATGTGAACAATGAGTAGGAGACTCTAAATGAGACAGCAAGGCCAGGCAAGGCTCCTTAGAGGTTCCATATGAGTCATATTATAAAGCATGAGTTAAAATTAGCTAGAAAAATAAGGGGGCTGGGAAAGGAAGGTCAACAGAGACAGTCAGAACATGAGAAGCAAAGTTCTGATTTGTGAAGGACAGGATACACTGATGACTCACTAATGTATAATATGCAAAGTAGTATTTTGATATTTCATTTGTTGTAGCTTGGCCTGCCGGACTGAACTACAAACTAGTTGATTGACAGGAAGTCATTTCAAATGATGAGCTAGTTTATGACCTAAGGCAAATTATTATTTTACTTCTCTGTGTCCTGTTTACCTACTAGGAAAGACAAAAATACTGACCTCCTTCATAGAGATGTTTAATTACTATTCAAAGTTGCTCTAAAAATATCAAGCCCTTCTCAAACATAAAGAACTAGTACAATTTCCTTGGGAGCTGTGCTAACAGAAGACACTGTAGGTTTACATCCTTAGATTGCAATAAATCTAAAGAAGAAAATAATTATCGATTCCTTTCCACTAGTATTAGAGAACTTTCTACTGATATGTCTTTAATTATCTCAGGCTAAAAAAAGAAATGGTAAAGGTATTCTATGACAAAAATAGGAAATTTTTTTAGCATCATGAGCCAGACATGGGCTCACACTTGCCATGCTAGCATTTTGGGAGGTCAAGGTGGGCAGATTTCTTAAGCTCAGGAGTTCTAGACCAACCTGGGCAAGAAAAACCCCATTTCAGCAAAAAATAAAAAAATTAGCTCAGTGTGGTAGTGCGTGCCTTTAGTCCCAGCTACTTGGGGGACTGAGGTGGGAGGATAACTTGAGTCCAGGAGGTTGAGGCTGCAGTGAGCAGAGATCCTGCCACTGCACTCCAGCCCAGGTGACAAAGTGAGACTCTTGTCTCAAAAAAAGAAAAAAAAGTTACCAGGAGCAACCAGGGAACAAGTACTCAAATGACCCATTTTACCTTTTTAAATTTAAATGCAAATGATGACGAACTAACATCTAATGAGCAAATAATATGTTCTAGAACTGTTCTAAGTGTTTTTCCACGTATAATCTTTTGAAATTATCTGGCAACCTTGTGCCTACATAGTAATAAACCTACCTATCTAGGTTTATTACTAACTCTGTCCTACAGATAAGGAAATACAAGCACAGAGAGTTTAGCAGTGTTCCCAGTGCCACTCATTAACCCCGACGGCTCATGGGTCTAGTGGTATTCTTGAGTACTTGTGTGGCTCTGAGAAACTTTGTTTCTCTATCTTTTTTACATTCACAATTCTCCTTTAGGGCTCATGGGAAGAATAGTACCTTTAAGCTATTTCTATACTTGGGGTAAAATTTCTGCTTATATGACCAGATTAATAAAAGCAGTTATTGTAGAAGGCAAACTGTATAGAAAAGTTCATCTGAATTCAGCTTTTTCCTGGCCACTTTTATTGACAGTACTCAGTTGACCCACCCATTGCCCAGTTTAGCTTCCCTCAGCTTTGTGGGAAATCTCTGATTTTTCTTGGGAACATTTGTAGATATGTCTTTTTTGTGCACCACTATTCCTGAAACATCTGCCCACATTTAATGCAGTAGTTTTACTGTTAGAAGACTTCCTTATTAGAAATTATAGTGATGAATGCCACTTCCTTCCTTACTAGTGTCTCTAATTTGTCTCTAGAATTGAGGAAAAAGTAGAAACTCTGCCGTAGTTTCATTTTACTGTCCAGGCCAGGTCCCAGCTTTCTTCCTTGCTTATGCTGGGATATGACATTGAGCAATAATACACACTAAAATAATCCCCTATATTTTCTGTTTTCTTTTTCTTTTATTTTGAGATGGAGTCTCACTCTGTTGCCAGGCTGGAGTGCAGTGGTGCGATCTCAGCTCACTGCAACCTCCGTCTTCCAGGTTCAAGCAATTCTCCTGCCTCAGCCTTCTGAGTAGCTGGCACTACAGGGGCACATCACCATTCCCAGCTAATTTTTTTGTATTTTTAGTAGAGACAGGGTTTCACCATGTTGACCAGGATGGTCTCAATTTCTTGACCTCGTGATCTGCCAGCCTCGGCCTCCCAAAGTGCTGGGATTACAGGTATGAGCCACCGTGCCCAACCCATATTTTCTGTTCTCTAAATATCAATAATATGCATCTTCCTGTAGCATATTTTTAGTGTTCTCAAATGTATTGATGTGTGGAAATAATCTATGACCTACATACTGATCAAGCAATATTAGTATTGCTTAATGTTTCCCTTCATAGGATTTATTCTGAGGGCCTTATTCAGACTGCACATTAAAGAAAAGCTAATAATTCAAGAGATTATAACTAGCAGTGTGTGAACAGTATAACCGATTAGATCAATCTGAAAGATGCAATTATGAAAGCAAAATTGTGTCCACTTCTCTAATGGGC